CTCTTGACACATTTTTTTTTTTTTAAATGAAACATAGGCCCCATCTATTCTGGGGGGAAACAGCCTGGTTGCATATTACCAGCAAGCAGAAAGAACAGAGGGAGAAGGATAAACATTCAGAATAGCCTTGTACCCCCGTCGCCCTAGACGTGTTGCAGGGGGGCTGGGGGGGCTAAGAAACATAGGCCCCATCTATTCTGGGGGGGGAAAAGTCAGGTTGCTTGTTACCGGCAAGCAGAAAGAGCAGAGGGAGAAGAATAAAGATTCAGAATAGTCTTGTAGCCCTGTCGCCCTAGATGCGGTGCGGGGGGGCCTGGAGGGCTGCATGCGGCCGCATGCCTGGTCCCAGCCGGGGCTTGCATAGTGGCCGGGACACCTTTACACAGTACCCAGACACACACTATGCCGGACCCGGGGAGCAGGCTAGGGCCATCAGGCAGGACCTTCAGTCTCCGGCCTAATGTACCTTTTGAAATTTACTAATTCTCTTCTTTTATGGAATTCCTTTCTTCTCTCAATTTCACCTTTCACTATACTCCTAAGCCTATACAGGGGACCCCTGCAAGCATAGCTACCTCTCACAATAAGGGGATGCATGTTGTCCCCTGCCCAAGCCGGCCGTGGTCAGGGATTGTGTTGTATGTCGGGTCTTGATACTGCGTGGGTTGCTTGTCGCTGTTGCTCGTGGTTGTTCTGTTGATCTCCCCAGTCTGGCATATCACACAGGTGCCGTTTGCGACTGTTGCTCAAATGGTAGAGTCTTCAGGTCACATGTCATAGATCATGGGTTCGAGTCTGGCTTGGGACTTTGGGGGGGTTCTCGTCCAGCTTGGCCTGTCATCTCTTCAACGAACACATAGTTCCCTCTACATAGTACTGCACATATCTGGCCTTCGGGCACATACATCTCGCTATACATTTACACAGAGCACACATAGCCTTCGGGCAGACACAAACATGGCTCGTGAATATATATGCACATAGCCTACGGGCTCATACAAACATATATACCCTGTGGGCACACATATACACACAACTATGATAGCGGGCTGGGGGGGGTCTATCAGGTACATGACGGGGTCTACTCATGCATGGCTTAGCTCTAGGGTAGGGTAGGGATATAAGTTGCTCCGGCTAGTCTGAGTTCCGCCTAGCCTTGGGTAAGTTAGGGGAAGGACGGTAGGATGTGTCCGTGGGCGCCGGCTTGGCTTGCTTAGGCACTCCTGCTGGGTAGACTCTCTGAATTGGGCCTGTAGAAGATTGCAAGAGCCTGGCGTCCGAAGTTCCCGTACGGCAAGGTTCGTCCGCTTCCGCTTCCGCCAGGGCTGGGGGGTTGGCCCAGCCCTGGTGCTTGTCACTGCTGTCTGGTTCAAGTTGCCCTCGATACTGGTAGGGCAATGGTCCTGAGTGCTGGTCACACTGAGGTAGGATAGTAGGGACAGGGGGTGCGTTGGGAGTGTAAACATGGGCATGGGTAGGGTAGGTGGCCTATCCTGCCAGGACAACCATTGGCTGCCGCTGCCAGCAATCACCGCGGGTCTGGTCCTTGGCCTCTACAATACCCTGGGCTTAAAAAAGAAAAAAAAAAGAAAAAAAAAAGAAAAAAAAA